ATCAATAAAAATTAAAAGGAAATTCCCGTGGAAAAATCAATGTTTTCGAATCGCCATTGACCCAGATGGTAGGGGTGTCTATGGTTCGGTTAATTGAATCATGGGCATACTTTGTAACTCGAACTGGTGGTATCGGTTTTTCAATTTCTCCAAACCGAAATTGAACTAGTACCACCAATTAACCGGTCTGCCTGTTTCGGTTTTTRACCTGTTCGGTTCTTTGGTTTTTTAGTTTTTTATATTTATAATATTATATTATAAATAATAAATGATATATAATATATTATAAATATTTTAAAAATATATAATATTTATAGATAGATTATTATAAATATAATATAAGTATAAATTTTTATATAATATCTAGAAAATATGTGACATATATTAAAAGTATATATAAAGTATACATATAAATATATATACCAGTCCATTCAGTTAACCACCGGTTTTTTTAGGTTAACCGAAAACCGAACCACTCTTTCGATTTTTCAAAAATTCCAAACTAACGAATCAGTCGGTTCTATTAACCGCATTTTACGGTTTGATTTTCTCGATTTGATTTAGTTTTTTGGTTTTTCATGGACACCCATACTAGATGGTCGGACTGTTTAGCCCGGGAACCATCTAGGCAACCAGTTCTATTTTTTCAAAACCCGGTCTTTGGCAAAAAACCATTGAAAAAGTCTACAACCGTTGACCCGGGCGATCAAACCATCAACCTGTCAACATGTTCAATGGTTTTTGGCCTTTTTTTTTAAATTTTTTTGTCAGAATGGGCCGTCCATTCAAACTGGACGGTTGGACCATAAACCCGGAAACCGGTGGCCAGAATGGTTCCGTTTTTGGGTTGTTTTTTAAAACCATGGGAAAAAGCAACAAGTTTTGTCAAATGGGAACCCTTGGTCAAGAACCTTTAGTAGGTATACCTAACAAGCATAGCAAAACTTGGTTGGAAAATGGTAACCTAACCCAATAATCTATGGGTGAAAGTTGTGAAGGCAAAATATATAAAAAAATTGGAACTTCTGAGATACTTCATGAGAAAAAAAAAATTCTTGGGCCTAGAGAAGGATTCTCCAAACACAAAGAATTACTTAAAAAGGGCATCGATTGGAAAATTGGAGATATTGAATCCATTAGATTCTAGAYTGACACTTGGGGTRGGAAAACACTCTCTTAATTGTGAGTTCACATCTCCACCCCACAATGCCCCACAACACATCCCCATTGTGTATTGGGAACATCTCCCGATGATAGTACCAGAATATCTTCGGGAGATGTTCCCAATACACGACGGGAATGTGCCGTGGGGTGGAGATTTGAACTCGTCAATTGTATTGCGAACTACAATCTTGTGGAGTAAGATATTCAACTCAATGAATTTATAGAAAATAATAAATGGAAGAAGGAGAAAATCTTAGATAGGGAAAAAATAAAAACCATTCCTATATCACTTTGAACCCGAAACAAGATAGATTAATTTGGAGACTATATGCAAAGGGACAATTCACAATAAGATCAACTTACAATCTTGAATTTGAAGTAAGACCAAGGTTTTAGAAGATTTGAAATCTTAACTGCCCCCAAAAATAAGGCTGCAACTTGGGTTGGGTTGGCCCGAACCCAACCCTTACTCAACCCGAAAAAGTTGGGTTAGGTTGGGTCAGGTTGATGCTCAGGTTAGGGTTAGGGTTGAAATTCAARAACCCGACTTTACTTTGGGTTGAGTTAGGGTTGACCACTTAGGCAACCTGACCCAACCCGAACCCCACTCTATAGTACATGTCATATATAAATATATGCTATATGTAATTTATAACATACATTGATTTGTTTAGATGCATGATATTTGTATAGCCCTCACCACATAGTATCATGTATCTTTTTTTTAAGATGATCACTTCACTTAATCCTAATCATAAAGACTAAAACCTTAATAGCATTATTTCATGTTTTTTTGAAAATTTTATTCTTCATCTTCTCTCTGTTGTTTGCTGCCCATAAAAGATCTATCATAAGTCATAGCTCATAATAAACTACAGTCATTTCTAACACTTGTTTTTTTTTTTCTGAATTTTGTACCAAAAGAACAAAAAAAAAAAACATCAACAAATAAATACTAATGAAACATAGGATTAATGTATGTAGTGAAAGTTGAGTTAAGATCTAAAATTGTGAAATTCTATGAAGTTTTAAGGGATGGGAAGAAGGTTCGATTGGGCCCAACCCGAGCCCAACCCAACTCGAAATTGACTTCAGGTTGGGTTGGATTGGATTAGGGTTGAAGGAATTTAGTTAGGGTTGTATTGATTGGGTTGGGCTAGGATTGGCCTCAATCCAACTTAACTCAGCCCGACTTGCAGCCCTACCCAAAAATATACTTCTTGTTGTTCCTTGCCCTAAAAGAAACTAAGGACTGGAGAGAAACTAAAAGATTAGGGTGTACTCCAAGACTCGAGATGTTGATTTTGTGGTGAAGAAGAAAATGAGAAACACATCATCCTCCACTATCTGATGGCAGAACCTCTTTTGTTAGATAATGATCTTGGCCGAACAGAACCCTTAGAAAACAAGGGCATTGATGAATTGTGGGAAAGAATGAATAAGATCTATAAAAATAACTGGGATATATCTCGAAAAATTCAGCACAAGACTATGGCGTATTTTGGAAAATAGAAATAAAAGGATATTCAAAAATAAATTAAAATAAAAGGATATTCAAAAATAAATTACCCCCTCACATTGTTAAAGGACTACTTACAAGTATATCTTGAAAGAGAAGAAACATACAACGACCAGGAGGAAAATCGTCTTTTTGGAAACCCCTTGAAGAAGGAGCTATCAAGATAATTCTTTATTCTTCAAGGAAGGAATATGGAAGATGTGCTATTGGTGCAATTGCAAGATATAGCCTAGAAAGGACGCTCTATGAGGGATGCAAGTACTTAGGTGTATTCACAATTAATGAAGCTGAAGATTGAGCAGCAATGGAAGCTTACTTGTTTGCTGTTCAATATATCATCATCATCATGAGACTCCAAATTAGTCATCAACGGTCTTCATGGTATTAGGGRCCCTCCTTGGAACGTGGAGCCTATCATCAACGATTGCTATCAGACATGTAGTAACTTTGAATTGATGACTATTATTACTTGCATGTATTAAGGGAGGCCAACTTTGCAGTGGACTAATTGGCCAACTATGGTCTATGGTGATGCTACCTAGATCTCCTCTTATGGTTACAAGTGTAACCCTCTAGCATACTTTTGTTTTAGTGATGCTTGGGGTAGGGGTTAGAGGTATCAATTGGATTGGATTTGCTCCAATCAGATCTAGTCTAATGTGAGTCCATTATAAATGGACCAGGTCCAATCCAATCCAATAAATGTTTTGGACCAATTTGGACTAGTCTAATTCAATGTTTGGACCATTCAATCTGTTCAAATTCATTTTRATTTAGATTGGTTTCAACTTAAATCCGGTCCATTGACACATATATTCTTATCTTATATCAATGGATCAGATATTAGCTTAATCCAATCCAATCCAATATAAATATGTTACAGATGGACCAGGTCCAATCCAATCTAATAAATGTTTTGGATTGGATTTGTCAAATCCAATGTCTTGTTGGTCCATCTAATCCGTACAAATTAATTTTGGATTGGACGGGGTCTAATCCAAAACCAGTCCATTGACACCCTTACTTGGGGTAGGGCTACCCTTGTGGTGTGTACTTCTCTTATAATCTTTTCACTCGCTATAAAACAAAAAAGGGGACAAATTATAGATTCCCCCACCTTCCAAACAAGTGGGTGAATTTAACACAATTCAAGGGGTATGTGGGTGATAGAGGGGGGTTTGCAAAATAAAATAAAAATAATAATTAAAAATTTATGAGGTGGAATTAGAARTGTAAAGTGGGCTGTGTTGGGCCGGTATGGCATGATCGGCATGTGGCCCGTATAAAGTGCGGGCTGAGCTGGGTCGTTCTTTCCTCTCCTAGGATACTTTAGGGGCTCGGCCCGACATGGCCCATTGCCTGAGTCCACACGGGCTCGTGTCGTGCCGCTGGCCAAGCCATGTTTTTAAAAGAAATTTAAAAAATAATGAAAATTTTAATATAAATTAAAAAATAAACAAAAAAATCTGAAAATTTTATTTTATATATTATATATGCAATAATAAAATGAAATAATATAATAAAATTATATATATATATTGGRTTGACAAGCAGAGAGAGAGAGCCAGGGCAGCAGACGGTTATGAACACAAGGCCGTTTACGTAAACGTCAAAGGGATGCGATGCCACATTTATTAATGAACCGAACGTAACAAGAGAATAAAAAATCAAAATCGCTGGTGGGAAGCGAATGCGTAGGGGGGGGGGGGGGTCCAGACTCCAGACCAATGAGGGGTTCTATAACGCTTTCGTCTCCTCTGCTGTCTCGCAAGTTTTGGATCATCAGAACTGAAAGCCGTTTCTGTAACCGATTCTTTATTCGATATTTTATGCACGAATCGAATTCAACTTCCAGGTCTGTCCGTCTGTGTGTGTGTCTCTCTCTCATTTTTTTTTTCTAATTTTTCTTTACACTTCGATTCGAATTTGTGATTATGATCTTCTTCTTATGTTTTGTCCAGTTCATTCTACGATTCAGATTGGAAAACTAAACATTGGGAGGTACAGATTCGGTCTGATTTTTTTTTTTTTTTTTTATGATTTGGTTTCGCTTGTTGCTAAGAGATGTATTTTCGAGGCCTGATCTGTTTTGTTGTGTAACAGGAACAGGAATGGGGACCTGATTCGATCAATTATTTGTTGAATCCGGATCGAATGGATAGCGTACTGAGGTAGTTTCTAACATTTTCCCTCATAGGTTCTTTATTGCATTATTGTTTCCAAAGCTTCCATTTTTATTCTGTGTGTTTTTGGACCTTTTGATCTTTGGAGGCGATATAGCTTGCATTTAGGCTTCATATGGTAGGTATTGTTTTTGGATCTCTTATGCCCTGTTTATGATTTTGGCCCTATTTAAGCATCTATTGGCGTCAACTCATATTGATAGGAGGGAGATTTGTACGAGCGATGTTTCTTCTTCTTTGGATGCTGAAACAGAARTGGTGGTTTCGTTTATTTTGCACATTTGGTGTTTACTCGATACCCCTGTCTGATTCAGCTGGGAATTTGATGGTTACTCCTTCATTTTATTCGTATTGACTTCACTCAACATGGGGCATGAGGGTACAGATTTATGCAGAATCTCTTGTTCTTAATTGAGATCTCTAAGTTGATTTTAGTGATCGTGGTTTCTAGTCTTCAACTAAGTCCTATATCTTTTRACAAACCCATAAAAAGACTGAAAGTTTCTTTTCCATCTGCACAGTTTCATTTCCTTTTACACACTCATACTGGGTTTAGTGCTTAACGTTGTTGCAAATTATAGATTCATTCATGTGACTTTCTCTCATAGGTAGATTTTATCTGGTTATTCCCCATGGTTTCTTCATTACAAGCATTGAATTTCGAGGTATTTTCCCAGTTTTCTGCTTGAAGTGCTAAGTTCTTTCATCTTTTTTCTTATGTTATGTATTTTCATGACCATACTTGTATTTATCTTTATTAGGGAGGTGTTTGCATGTGAAAAGGGTTATCCATTATTTCCAGTTTTCTTGGAGGAAAACCAGTTCCTGTATGATTCTAATGCAATTCGGCTTCAGCTATTTGGAGATTGTGAATTCACTGAAGGACTTTTTTGTCTGTCATGTGTTATTCATTTTCAGATCAGAAGATTATTTTGGTTTTATTTTAATTTTCTACTTTTCTAGTATATATTTTTTTTGGGTATTCATACTGTTATGTTCTATATTTACCTTATTCATTCTTTTCTCTTGTTTTCTGTCTTCTATTTGTCTTGGCTTTCTTGTCGATTTTGTATGGTGATCTTTTGCTTTCAGTCTGTAGTTGATGCTTGGCTATTCAGGTTAAGTGATCTTAGTATCTCCCTTGGTCCATTCATTTTAGTGCTTAAAGGCTGCAAGAGCTCACCTTCCTGGCTTGTGTAATACACCACACATGTGGGAGATTAATACTTGCTACTTGGTTGGTTGCACCATGAATATTTTTGATTGATCCTAATTGCTTGACTATAAACATGCAATTACGAATTCTCTGGATTGAGTGCTATCTTGTTTTCTTGTCATCCATAAAGAATATGATGGACTGGATGGTGGGGCAAATATATATATATACCATCCGTGAATTTTTTATAAATACCACCTGATTGGCTACCACATTTATGATACCAGTTGATTGGCCACAAGTTTTTCAGATACCATATCTTTCCGGTATCATAGTCAAATCCATATACATTCAAATTTGGTCTGGTGCCTTCTCATCCTTGATCATTTGTAGGGGTGCAACTTGGGTGGGCACAGTTGGACTTTTATCAAAATTAAGGGCCCAGCCCAAAGGCCTGAACCCGAAGCAGTGTAAAATGCTAACTCGGGCCAACCCAAGTTACACCCCTAATTATTTATCTGGTTCTAGTTGGGAAAGAAGCTTCTCACTAGAGATTTTGATATGCTTTTCAATGGGGTTCTTGGTAATGCGTGTGTATGTGTTTTCAATTTGCTTAAGCAAACTAGTGTTTATGCTATGCTTCATTCTTTCCAGTTACCGCTAGGCTCATATATATTTCTCCCCTTTAGCTCTGTGGTTGCACTTGCTTTGCTGACATCCTTAAATTTTCTTCAATTTGTTTAGTGTTCTGGTCTGACCTCTTAAGGCATCATCAATCTGCAATCCATGTACAGTTACATCCAGATGTGGTGTTGGTCCAATGAGCCATATGGACAATGAGCATGCCTTTCTGATGAACCGGCCAACAAAACAAGGCAGGGAAGCAGAAGATGTTCCGAGACAGCAAAGGCTCCAAATTTCCTTGAATACCAACTTTTGTCAGTATGAAGCCCACCAATTGCCAAGCATTCCTAAAATGAATCCTGTGCCAACTAGACTGAGATTGTCATACAATGATGATGAACACAACTCCTCTGTTACTTCCATAAATGGAAGTATGACGGAAACTCTTCCTGTAATTCTGTCCCTAGGTGACAACCTTAGGACTGAGATTGATCGGCAGAAAGAAGAATTCGACCATTACATCAGAGTACAGGTACTAATTTCACCATTGGTATATACTGTATACACATTCCATTCTTTGTGCCTTCTAGCTTTCAAGCTCATTATTCCCTTGATCTTGGTTCATGACTAAACAGGAAGAGCACATCATAAAGGGAGTAAGGGAGATGAAACAAAGACACATGGCTTCTTTCCTGAGTGCAATAGGAAAAGGAGTTGGCAGGAAACTGCATGAGAAGGAGCTTGAGATAGAGAATATGAACAGGAAGAACAAGGAACTAGTGGAGAGAATAAAGCAGATGGCCATGGAAGTGCAATCCTGGCAGTACCAAGCAAAATACAATGAATCAGTGATCAGTGTCCTGAAGAGCAATCTCAAACAAGCCATTGCACAGTACATTGACCAAGGGAAGGAAGGTTGTGGTGACAATGAGGTTGAAGATGCAGAATCCTCGTGCATTAACCAGAACAACCACCTGATAATTCCTAGTGGTTCTGAGAATGGCCAACTCAAGTTGAAGGAACGGGTGACTTGCATAGCATGTAAGGGTAAAGTGGTCTCCATGTTATTGTTGCCATGTAGGCATTTGTGCTTGTGTATGGACTGTGATGGGTTTATCCATGTATGCCCCATCTGCCAGTTAATGAAGACTGCAAGTATTCAGGTATACATATCCTGATACATGGATTTAACACAATAGAATCGAAAAGTTTTGCACAACCTCCCCTTTTCTGAATGCGTTTTGTTTGGCTCAATTTTTTCTATTTTTAGAACTTTGCTTCTTCTTTGGTGGATGATGTGTTTCATATTTATAGTTCACTTCCGTTGCAGCTTTGGCTACTGTCTAGTAGTTCCCTCATCAGACTATAACACCCACTTTCCAGCACTTACAGCTGTGCATTGGAAATATCTCCCCATGAATGAAAACAATTAAACATACAAGTTCGGAGTTGTCCTGGATGTGCAGTTGCAACGTGCTGTGAGGACTTTTGATGCTGGAAAGACATGWTAGTGGAAAAACTTATAATCAATCAATTGTATCAACTGACATTGTAAAAGTGGTAACCAATCAGGTGGGTTTCATAAAAATTCATGGGGGTTTTGATTGGTCAAAATCTTTCTGGTATCATAGATTTTTCTTAAGTAGGGGGCTTCCCTAAAATGACTTGCTATATTTCTCAAGTAGGGGGTTTTGATTGGCCACTTGTTCAATCCTTTAATCCACATTATCCTTCTTTTTTTTAGGAAAATTCCCGATCAATATCCTATACTTTGGTCTGAGTGACAATTTGGTCCCCAAACTTTAAAATGCGACAATTTAGTATCTAAACTTTCAAAATGTGACAATCCAGTACCTGCCATTAACCAGTTCGTTAATCAGCCGTTAAGTGACATTTGAAAAGTCAAAAATGCCCTTCAAATATCATCTAATTCTTTTTATCAACCATCYAAACATTGACAAAAAAAACTGAACAGTCCCAAATCCTAGCCTCTTCTATTAGAAAAAAAGTTGTTGATAGTGGAATTTGGGACTGTTCATTTTATTGTCAATGTTTGGATGGTTGATAAAGAGAATTAGATGACATTCTTAGGGCATTTTTTGATTTTTCAAATGTCACTTGATGCTGATTAACGGATTGGATAACGACAAGTATTGGATTGTCACATTTTAAAAATTCGGGTAATGGATTGTCATATTTTAAAGTTTGGGACCCAATTGTCACTCGAGCCAAAGTACAGGGTACTGATAAGGAATTTTCCCTTTTTTTTTTTAAATACTCATATCATCCTTTTATTTTATTGATATTGACCATTGAAAGTTTCAATAATTTTTGTCCACAAGATGGGTCTATTTTGTTGGATGGTGATTATTTCTGATATAATTTCCTCTCTTTAATAAAGGATGTAGGGCCATTTTAGGTTGTCCGTATGAGCTCCCCATTGAGTATGCCCCACAACCCATCTCCCGTATATTGGGAACATCTCCCATGCTTTGTGGGAGATGTACACGGGGATGAGCTGTGAGGCATGCTTTGTGGGGAGCCCATCCAAATTCCATTTTAGGCTCCAAAATCAATTGTCTAGGTATGTGTGTTACTCCTAATACTGTATTACTGTCCCAACATGCCACTGCAGCGGTACGTAGGGCGCATCTTGCTTGTAAATGTTTTAAAAACTGACCCGGAGGCCAAACCACTTTTGCCTCTGGGTTGTAGGTCATCGTTCGATTGGTTCAGACCATGCTATGTCAGTGCATATATGTTTTTGCCTTTGTGTGTATGTATAAATATATATTTTAGCAATAAATAATGTATAAATATGTTATATGCAAGGCTCAAAGTATCAACACGTATCAATCCGTATCAACTGATACGTATCATTCCAGGACCCCTCCGATACGCCCCTATAGTGGGTGTATCGGCGGTCTGACCAGTTAAGGGGGTGGAGGAGTCCTAAACCGGTTTCGAAAAAAAAAGTAAAAAAAAGGGTATCGATTCGCTCGATACACCCCTACCAGCATATTGGGCATATTGATATTTTGAACCTTGGTTATATGTATTATTTTTTATTTAACTTGTATTTTTTTAATTCAGTTTTTAATTTTTTGTTTATAAAAAATATTAAAAATTACAATTTAAGGCCAATAGATGCCTTAGGACACATAAATCTTTGAAAAGTTACTCAAAAAAAAAATCAYCCCAATCATATACTAGAGTGCAAAGTTATGACCTTCAAAAGTTTGCATGCACTGAGTATGCAACCCACAATAGTCCAAATCTTATTATGTTTTTGAATCCTAGTCCTATTCATACTGTTATATTTTTTATTATAAATAACAAGTGAAGGGGGCAGCCAAAATATAACTCTCCTACTTCTCAAAATCTTTTCTTCTCTTCTCTTTTTTTCTTTCTCTCTTCCTTCCCTCTTCAAGGAAACACTTTTTTCTTTTATATTTTTTAATTCAGCAGATTTCTACTTGGTATTAGAGCTTCATTTAGGGTTCTTGAAGCACTCTCATGCAGCCATAGATCGGTCGGCTGCATGAAGTAAGAAGAGGCTGATCGATCTATTTTTTATTGCCCAGTTCTTGGATTTTTTTGTGAGGTCGATTCATTAGTAAGGTGATCTTCGTCTTGGCATCAAAATCAGGAGGAATTGGAGTACGGGGAAGAATCATAGAAAARCTGGACTCTTTGTTCTTGATTTGATCTTGGGCGCACAGGTATCGTTTGATTTCTTTTATTATTCTATAGAGGACAGTTAGCTTTCTAGACCTTTTTAGGCCTTTTGGAGTGGTTGTTTCAGTCTTCTCTCTGTTGGGAGACGCTGGGAGGAGAGAGATTTCTCTTCGGTTAGGGTTTTTCTTTTCCTGGAAGGGTTTGTTTTTGTATGCATGTCTTAAAATTGTTCTTGGAAGGTCTCAACTTTCTTCTTTCAGTCTATTAAACTGTTTGAAGTAAGATGGAGAATTGGAATACCGAGCTGAAATCCACCGGTACCATGGGACTAGGTGTTGGAAGTGGTAATGATATTTTTGGGTTTGGAATTATTACTACAGTAAAACTGGRTGGAACAAACTATTTAGAATGGRCACAATCTTCCAAGATGGCTATTGGTGCCCGTAGAAAGTTAGGGTACATCACTAGGGAGGAAAGGAAACCAGATATAGATTCTTATCGATGGGTACAAGAGAATTACATGTGATGTTCTAGCTATGTAATTCTACGCTACCTCACATTGGAAAAAAAAATTTGTGGGTTAATACTGGTAAGGAGATTTGCGATGGAGTAATTGAAACCTATTCTCAGAAATAGAATGTAGCCAGAGCTTATCAGCTAAGAAATCAGGTGATTAGTATAAAACAAGGAGATAAACCTCTTGCTATGTATTTCTCCATGCTGAAAACCTTGTGGTAGGAAATAGACCACTTAAAAAGTATAATATGGGAAAGTGTCAATTATGCAACAACCTATTAGAAACCGGTAGAGAAAATAGGTTTTTGAGTTCTTGGTAGGGCTGAACCCTAAATTCGACATTGCAAGGTAGCATATCCTCTCTAGGGAGAGTGTGACACTCTCTCAAGCCTATGCCTTTGTTTATGGAGAGGAAAGTAGGAGGAGTGTCATGTTGAGACAGCCTGGGATTGACCAGTTGGCCATGGTTAGTACATCCAAACCTAAACCGAATGGAGAAAGGGGAAGCAATGAGACTAGGAGGGAGGATAAGAATGACATGGTGTGTGATTACTGTAAGAAACCTAAGCATACCAGAGATACTTGTTGGAAACTCCATCAACAACTTATGCCTGCTCGAATCAAGAACAAGAAGGGAAATGTGAATGTGGCCACTACAGGAGACTCTTCGGCCCCTCTTTCCCAAACAGATTGGAAATCCATTGTAGTAGCAGCTGTAAGAAAAGAATTAGAAAGGTTTGGACAACTCATGAGCAAAAAAGATGCAACTAGTTCTAGCCTTCCAGACGGACAATAGAGTGCAGGAGCCAACTACACCACCTCTTTGGCACATACAGGTAGTTCATATGCAACTACAAGCCTTGCATCCACTTCAGGTAAGGACAGACCTCCCTGGATTATAGACTCAGGAGCATCTGAGCACATGACTAATGTCCCTACCCTCTTCAGTTCTTATCAATTATGCTCTGGTAGAGACAGARTCTCTATAGAAGATGGTTCTCATATTCCCATTGCTGGAAAGGGAACAGTTAGAGTGACCAATGATATTACTTTATCATCTGTCTTACATGTCCCTAAACTTCATAATAACCTACTTTCARATAGTTCTTTGACAAAAAAATCTGAATTATTCAGTGACTTTCCTTCTTGATAATTGTGTTTTGCAGGATTTGGAGTTAAAGAAGATAATTGGGAGTGGTTGTGAGGTGAATAGAGTCTACCTTTTGGATGAGATTCCGAGATATCAGAGTCATCATGTTAGTTGCAACAACAGTAGTGGATTAGAACCATTGAGTCAGATTATGCTATGGCATAATCAGCTGGGGCATCTTTCTTTTAGTTCTTTAAAATTTTTGTTTCCAAAGTTATTTGAGTTTGTTCAATTATCTACCTCGGAGTGTGAGAGTTGTCGGGAAAATATTGTAGACATTCTTTTAAACCAAGTGATAAAAGAAGTGTGTTTGCTTTTGATATTGTTCACACTGATGTATGGAGACCTATCATATTCCTTGCATGGGTGGCTACCGCTATTTTCTCCTATTTGTAGATGATCACACCTAGTATTCTTGGATATATTTGATGAGATACCACGAGGAGGTCCCTAACTTGGTCCGACAATTCCATCAAATGGTTATCACACAATTTGGAGTAAGAACTAAGGCTTTCAAATCGGATAATGCTAGAGAGTATTTTGAAAAGGACTTGACAATATACTTTTTGGAGCATGGTATAATTCATTAGAGCAGTTGTGCACATACACCGCAACATAATGGAGTAGCAGAAAGAAAAAATAGACACATTGTGGAAGTAGCAAGAAGTCTTATGATATGTGCTTCAATTCCTGTCCATTTTTGGGGAGATGTAGTTCTTATAACTGTGCACTTGATTAACTTTGTTCCTTCACGTATTTTGGGGTTTAAGGTGCCATTCAACATTCTTTTTTTAGATGCAGAGATGTTTTACATTCCTCTGAGGGTTTTCGGTTGTGTGCCTTTTATTCACATTCTTGGCTCCCATCGCAAGAAA